CAAATAAGTGTGCCAAGAATAAGATAGCTTGGATAACACAGTGTCAATCAGAACTTTTAATCAGGTCTAGATCCCTGTTTCACTATTAAAATATATTTTAATTAGACTTTGCTATAGCAGCAGATTTTGTTGGCATACTTTGAAAAGTATGATGAGTTGGAGGAGGAACTAAGTGGAATTCTTGAAAATCTAGAGATCTATATTCCATTCAATTTCTTTCTGAGGATGAGGAAGCTTATGATATAAATAAAGAAGTTGCTGGTATATCAAATAACAGAATCCATATTTTCAGCATTCCTTTCCAATGTATTTTGTTATTCTCTTGCTCAGAAAGACCATTGAGAGAAGCCATCTTGGTGAGTCTCTTGCTTGCTTTTCCTTGAGCACAGTGTTCATCATTTCCAGGAATTTTGGCTCTCTGTTAGACTGTACAGGAGACTTGAAGGAATGTGTATATAAATAGAAGTTTTGGAAGAACCTTGATAGTAAGATATTTCAGGCAAATATAGCTTTCTGTCTTAAAAAAAACTCCTCAGCGACTTTATGTAAAGAGAATTTTACTATCATTCAGTATGAGTTAATAATTAGAGAGTAAATAATCAGCCTTTGCAATGTCTTTAAATCAAATAGCCAATGAAGATAGGGAATGAATGGAATGGGGAAAAAAATAATCCTTTGCGTGAGTTTATGATAGATATTGGCTTAAGGCAATTAAAGAACACTAATTTAGTTTTAATAAGTTTCTAAGTGCCAAAAAGGGTTGTTAATCTGTTTTGGCAAAACGTACCATACAGTAACTAGTAAGAAATACATCAAAACAATGTAATGAATCTTGGATTTGATTCAGCAAGCATAGCTTAGATTTCAAGTCACCACATCCTAAACCTGTTTCAGACCTCTGGGACAGATCTTGACCATCTTGTTCTCTAGACTGGATTTATCTTTTCCACTTTTTTTGACCAGAATGTTTATCATTTTCATCAGCTTCATCTTTCTTTGAGATATTTGGAAGAATTTAATATTTTTATTCTTTTTGATATTATGATGTTTTAGTTTAATTCCTTTGTGGGATTTCTTCAATTATTAATTTTTTTGCCAAATCATTAATATCACTAGTCAGATGTTCTTTACTGGAGTTATTGGAAAAGAACTATAAACTTCAACTAACTGTCCTTATTTCACAGTTACGCATTTTGAGTATCATTATTTTTGCCAAAGCAGAGCTCTGCAATTCTGCCTGAAAATATTTTATCAGTGAGATTTCTGGATCCCATCCTGAAACAAGTTTGTTAGTGCCTACATGTTGTTTCCCCTAATATAGGAATGATCTGCAGTAGACAAGATTTTTTTTAGAGTAGAAAGGGCTTGTAACAGATTCTGAGGGCTTGTTTTTAGCTCATCTATTCTATTCTAGTAACTATTTTCTACTCCTTCTTGCACCTCACTCACTGAAAAAAATATTTGCCTAGCTACCAAGATCTTTGCCTTTCCAACTGAAGAAATCTCACTAACTAAATTGCTTGCTGTTTCATTTTGTACTAAGGTATATAAACAGAATAGCCCTATTGATCAATCAACTGGGGTCATCTCTAAGGCAATTTCTTCGTCCTAGCAGGTACTTGAATAATACCATGTGGAAAAATAAAATAATAATCTTTGACATGAAGAACTATGAAAAGAGAATGAGAGAGGGGTCCTTGGTGCTCTTTGAGCTTGCTTATTTTCTTGCAGATGTTTCATTACGCAAACTAGGTAACATCATCAGTGCCAGAGTAGATCAGTGACTAGCACTGATGATGTTACTTAGTTTGGGTAATGAAACATCTGCAAGAAAACAAACAAGCTCAGAGAGTACCAAGGACCCCTCATATCAACCCTGAGCTATAAATATTCTCCTTTATTAGAGAGTGAGAGAATATGGTTGATGTTGTTTAGCTTTGTGACATGGGCGGAATTAAATATATTATTAAATATATTATTGAAGTATATTATGATTTTATCATAAATCATATTTCAAATTAAATTAAAATACACTCTAATCTGCCAGTGTCCCAAAAACCAAGTACAATCCCATTTGTGTGCTATCAGAAAAAAAATGCACTGATGTGCTCATTCGCTCCTTTGACCGTGTACATCTGATTTGCTGATCCATCTATGAACTTCTTTCATGAAGGCAAAAATACAGGCAGCAGAACCAGAATGGCCACCATGGGTGCAACTGCTGCTATTCATTAGCAGAAGTTTCTGATCAATACTTAAAAGATTTCTACATTACTGAAGACTTATCAAATGAGGATTTTTTAATAGTACCTAAGCCAGGGGTCTTCAAACTTGGGCCTTTCATGACTTGTGGACTTCAACTCCCAGAATTCCTCAGCCAGCGTGCCTGGCTGAGGAATTCTGGGAGCTGAAGTCCACAAGTCATAAAAGGGCCACATTTGAAGACTCCTGCCCTAAGCTATTTAAAGGGTTAGTTGCTGGGCAAGCCATGGGTATGGAATGCATTTAAACTAATGTCTTACAATCTTGCGGTTATTATCTTACAGAGTTCTTCATTTTAAAAGTGAATTAATTGCTATTTCATATAGCTAAAGTGAAATAGTTATATAGCACCCAAATATATTCCCTCTAACCAATAGGTAAAGTAATGCAGTTTGAAGGCTAAATATTTTTTAAATAGCCCCATCTAAAATGATCTCCTGATATAAGCAAATAGAGTCAGATATTACATTCTATTTCTCCTTCTTGCATTCTTGGGAACTTTTATGTTTTGTCTAAATACAGGTAGTTGTCAACTTACAATCATGATTGAATCAAAATTTCTGTTGGTAAGTAAGATAGCTATTGTGAGTTTTGCCCTATTTTACAATCTTTCTGGACCCACTGTTAAGTGGATCACTGCAGTTGTTAACTTAGTAACATGTTTGTAAAGTGAATCTGCCTTCCCCATTGATTTTGCTTGTCAGAAGTTCACAAAAGGTGGTCACATGACCCCAAAATGCTGCAACTGTCATAAATATGAGTTAGTTGCCAAGGGTCCAAATTTTGATCACTTGACTGTGGAGATGCTGCAATGGTCGTAAGTGTGAAAAAACAATCATAAGTCACTTTTTCAGTGCCGTTGTAGCTTTGGTCACTAAATGAAAGATTGTAAATCAAGAATTACTGGTATTCAAAGAGCTCCTATAACAGTTCAATGTTATGTTTTTTAAAAGAATGAATCAACCACTCTTTGTTTCTTCATTTAATAACTCTCTGTGTACAGCCTGCTACAAACTGAAACCATCTCAATGTCTATAAACATCTATTTTGAATATATCCCCACAGGTTCTATTTTAAAACAGTGACTAAATGTATGCATTCCCTCACTTCGGTCTTCTCCTCTCATTCTCTGTACAATTTAGTTCTATTTTCTGTATGACTTGAAGAATTCAGGAGAATTTGAAAGTCTTTCATTTGGTCTTGTAATTTATTTCTCTAATAGAACTGGAAGAGCTAGTTCCCATGCTGTTGTTTCACATACAGTAGTATGACATTTCCCTTGATAATGCTGGCTACTGATGGGGTTGTGCTTGTATATAGAGTACATTATTGCCCATCCCTGAAAATATGTTATTTTCGCTGATCTGTACCAATTCCCAGCAGTTTACAATGTAGTCATCAAATACATTAAAGTAGTATTTTATTATAACATACTGGTAATAAAAATATGAATATATAAAAGTATTCAAATCAAAAGCAAATCAAAATAAACAAACGAACAAGTTTATGGTAGCATTACATAACTTAAAGGTTCTCCTAAAGAACTCTGCTTTCAATGGTTTATGAAAAATTAGTTAAGTGGAAGCTTACTGAATTTAAAATATGTTTAGAAGCCAGCAGAACACTAGTGTCACATAACTACTGAGGTTTCCAAGGGGTTTTCAAAGGCTGAATATATATAACATCAGTGGTTCATCATTCCTGTTTTCTAAAATAGTCTCAACATGCCTATGGAAGGGATGTCTATTACAAAGTTGCAATCTTCCTTTTTCTAATTTTCCAGTGGATGCCCCAGCTCCTCCCCTTTTAAAAATGGCAACAAAACTAGGCATTATGACATTAATTTAAATAGGATAACAATTTGGATAACAATTTGTACCAGGCTTAGATTATTCTTTTTCCTACATTTCCAATCGAATACAATCACCCATTTAGACCCATTAGTCATCAGTTTTCAGTTCCTGTGCTGAACAGTCCATTTTTTCAGTAATTAACTACTGATTGTAGAAGATAAGTAATCTCTAAACTGAATATAGTGTTAGACTACCAGTGCTCAGTCAAGCACACCAATGCTTTCTCTTTCAACTGCATATAATCCTACCTTCTTATAAGGATATAAGTATATGGTATAAGTATATAAAGGTATACTGTTAATGGCATAGGGTTTTCTGTTTGAACAGAAGGTTGGACTAGAAGACCTCCAAGGTCCCTTCCAACTCTGTTATTCTGTTATTCTTTTAAGAAGACCTCCATTCATTCGTTCATTCATTCATGCATGTATTCACATTCTATTTGTATTGTTCAGTTCCTTAATATTCCAGCTAGCTTAGTAGCTTCATACAGTACATATAATAAAAGCCAGCATTTACATACAATTCATATAGAATGTGTTTTCCCCCCAAGATTCATACAGCCTCTGCTCTGTTGGGGTTTCAAATGGTCCTGAAGACCTGGTTCATTGCCCAGGCTTTTGGCAAGCATAATTGAAGAACCCTGCCCCCCATTACACACACTTTCCCCCTTTGTTCCCATCTCATTTGGTCATTTCTGCCATCTTTATTTTGGGGGGGGGATCCTTATTTTAAATGTTGTTAACCATTTGTAAACCACCCGAAGTAACTAGAGTTGGGCAGCATATATATTTAACAAATTATTACTAGAACTTATTGTAATACATTTAATACTGTACATGCCATTTTGGGGGATCTAGAGTCTCAAGAAATTTCAGTCCAGAGTCCTTTAGTTATATAATGTTTAATTTTTCTTCAGTTCGTTCTTTTCATAATGAAACAACAATATTTCAGTCTTTTACTCTCAAGAAAGAAGAGCAATTCAAGAGCAATCCAAAAATAGCACAGTTAAAAGCTTGAACCTACTATTTCACTCTCTTAGAGAAAAAGAAGAAAGAAAAACATACTGTACTTGTTGCAAGTGAGAAGTCCCTTCAGGGGCAATTATGTTTTAGCTACTCTGAGGCATTGTATTTTACATACATTCTTGCAGCAATTCTAATGGTATCAAATGTCGGTCTTGCCAAACAGATATCCATAACGGCTAAAAATTCTTAGTTGAACAGAAAGCAGTTTGTTTCACAAAATAACAAAAAGGCATTTAACAAAATACACATGATAAATGTGCACCGCTCCTGCAGGCACAACCATAAATATGGACTAGGAAAAAAAATTACTTTAATGAAGCTGTGTCGTTAAAGCAGAAATGCATGTCATTTTTAGAAATGCACAAGTTGTCGGACTACTCATATATAAAGGATAGCCAGAAAAAAAGATTTTAAAGGATAGTTTTTAAAAACCTGATTATGTGAGTTGTCATTCTAATTTTTTTCAACAGATATAGACACATTTTTACTTCACAAAAATGCATCAAGTATAACTGGGTAAAATATTCTTAAATTAGGTTAGGGTCTTTAATGCGAGCTGGGACTTGTCCATCAAATAAAGCTTTGCATCTTAACAGATCAACATTTCTCTTCACATCACCACAAATAATTCCTCAAAATCACTATTTTGGACATGAAATATATCTCAGTCTTCCTGTCTATGTTAGAGTTAAAACTCACAGTATTCTCTGGTTTGAATACCAGCAACTCTGCAGTCTGTCCTTTCTAAAACAGATTTCCAAGTCATTTGGACAATAAGAGGCTACCAGCAGGTTTGTAAATTGGGAGCAACCTTAAGTCAGCAGAGTTTTATTGAGATAGAATTATCTTAAGTATGACATTGATAGAAGATCTCAAAGAGGTGATTTTATTAGCTGGCTTTAGACTAAGTAGCCTGTAATACTGGAGCACTTTATGAGCTACAACATATGATTATATAGCACACCCATACGTACACATGCATATTCACACACACGGCTCATCCTCATACTATAATCTTATCTTCAATCAAAGTTAAAGCTCAGAACAGAGTTCAAAAGGCAAGAACACAATCTTGTGATAAAGCTACTGTTCTAACTTCTGGAGTTGCTGCCTCAGCACCAAAGCTGGGTTAGTCACATACAAGTTAAACAACTGCAAGATGCCATATAGGAATTTGCATTCCTGTTTAAGCAGCTGTGTACTGGAAGTCTTTAAGAAGAGACTGGACAGCCATTTGTCCAAAATGGTGTAGGGTTTCCTGCCTGAGCAGGGGGTTGGACTCGATGACCTCCAAGGTCCCTTCCAACTTTATTATTGTTATTATTATTACTGCCTCTTTTCCACCAACACAACTCACTAATTTTTAGCAACTGATATCTGAGGAATGTATGTGCGTGCACAATTATGTTCTCTGAAGGACTGATGATTAAATGCCCTCAAGTTGTGGTCAACTCTTGGTGACTACATAGATTTTCTTTATGATATTCTGTTCCTAACCTGGTCTCTCAGCAACACCGATGATGCATTCATTACGGTAACTGAGTCTATCCACCTTGCTGCTGGTTGTCCTTTTCTCTTTCCTTCCACTTTTCCCAGCATTAGAGTCCATTATATTCCACCCTATTAGTCTCAATCCTACAAGCTGCTTCTTTCTAGTTGTCACTATTCAGTAAAGGGAGCAGCTTCTAGTCTGTGAAAAGACATTGTCCTGTAAAGTTTACAGTGCTATCATACTCATCAGCAATATTCCTCTTGGAGGAAGAAAGCAAATGACTTTGATAAAAGCAGATAATATAAAAGCCAGAGCTGGCTCTGCCTTGCAATGTTCAGCTAACTATAACAGCGTGCTACTCTCTAGTGCACATGTTATTCTCTATTAAGCAGACAATTCCTATCCAGGTCATTTAATTTGGTTTAAAATTTCATTATTTTCATTCATCTCCAATTACCGCAACAGTTTTGAAAGCAGATACATGATTTCAGGATAACACTGACTTCTTTGGCTGGCAAGGAACCAAATTATGAAACTATGTGTCCATGTCATTTGTTTGGAATGGTTTATCCCACTCCTCAGTTCTTTAGTTGGATCTTGTCAACTCCTGGGCCATTAATTTTGCAGAAGAGCCCACATTAGACAGAGCACCTTTCATCTTCAAGTCATTTGAATGATGCACAGTTCACTGTTCAGCCATGCTGTCACCAAGAGAAGACTTATCTTTTTAGGAGATATTCCTTACATTTTACTTTGGAAGTAGCTACGAGATCTCCAAACATCTCCTGGGAAGCATATGTCATGTATACAAATCCATCTTCATCTTTGTAATCTCGGTATACTTCGGCCAGAGTTAAAGACATACTGGCTAAACTCTTGTTGTTTATCAGTAGGTAGAAAGCTTGAGTAGCACTCAATGCCATTCTGCTTCTGGATTAACAAAGAAAATAGACATATTTCTAAAATGTGCAAATTCCTTCATAGTATATAGAGAGTAGAGATATTGTTCTTTGAAATAGAGGTAAGGAAGAAGATGGATTTTTAAGTTGTCCAGACTATCCAAGAAAAGATACATATTGCATTTTTCTGGGATAAGTTTTACAGTGTTTAGTGTAGGGGTGTTTTTTTACATTTATTATTAAAATTAGTATTTGTTTATTTTTGTTTACTTCACGTCAGTTTTTGACTCCTTCTGACTGCCTGGGCAAATTATGAAACTGCAGTTTTCTTGGCAACGTTTTTCAGAAATGGTGGGCCTTTGCCTCCTTCCTAGAGCTGAGACAGCAACTGGCATTAAAGTCTCCCAGCTGGCTCTGTGCTTAAATCAGAACTAGAACTCACAGGCTCCTGGCTTCTAGCCAGATGCGTTAACCACTACATCAAATTGGCTCTCAGATATTTATTTAGCTTGCTTGTCATTAAGGCATTTATTATAGGTATTTAGATTCCATAGTGAGCACGGTACAGAAGGTTACAAACAGCAAAGGTAATTCAGCTTGTTCCTAGAGTGTAGAGACTAGGAAAGGTTGAGGGTGGAGTTCCTTACCATTTTTCACTAATCTCACTTAATTTTATCTTGCTGTTTAAATGCACTCTATTTTTTCATGTAGCCACAAAACACATTATTTTTTTAAAAATACAGTGTACTTCCTAATCAATTGGATGAATGAAGATTAAATATTCTGAGTACAAGCCATAGCTCTATTTGTGTAATTCTATTGGGCAACACATATTGGATAAGTCTATGACCTTGAAAATGGCAGTTAATAAGCATTCCAAGTTTCTGTAATCTCACTTTGTATGTTCTGCCTTATTTCACTTACCTATAAGAGATTCTAATCAATTTTGATATCAGTAATAGTCACAGGAGCTTAAAGAGGTCTTGAAGCAGTAGGGCTGAGATAAAAATAATGTTATGCAAATAGTTCTGCAGACCTGAAGGCTTTTTGGATTTATACTTCTTAAGTGTCCTCGCCAGCCCATAGCAAGCAATTTTTAAAAAGAAGCAAAATTTGAAAGTAAATTACTAGAGGGAATGAATAAATAATCCATTTTTCCAAATCAAAAATTCCTAGTTACATCCTGGATTCTGAAGAATAAAATTTCAATATTTATTTCAAGATGTACATATGAGTTTAGGATAGCTTTACCTAAATCAGTATTTTCCCTATATGTTGGGCCAATGTCAGTATTGGAATTGAAAGCTGAATATGTCTGGACTGCATAGGACTGAGGAACACTATCTGAGAATAAAAATAGATTGAGATACATTGAAAGCTAATAGCTGCATAATTTTTAAAATTATACCTTGGTTATTTTTTGTACAAAACTCTTCTTGGATGAATACATGATTGAAACAGTCTAGGAACTTTAAAAAAAAAACAGGAGGAGGGAAAAAGGTGGGACTGTATTAATCTAGCATTTTCTCACCATAACTTTGTGCAAATAATGAGGAATATTTTGCAAGAGAGCTCAAACGACTGAATCTCATCAAAGCAATGGGAGAAAAGTCACATAAAGGTGTTGGATAATTGAAGCCATATTACTGCAAAGTTCCCAAGTTTTTTTTTTTTTAGAAGCCCCCATAGCAAAAATAGACAGGCAAGGAAAGGGGTGTGCACAGAAGCATTGACAGCTGACAAATAATAAATAGCCTATCTGTGGCTTGCTACATACCTAATGATGGTTATAAACTGTGTCATAGTTAACTCTTGTGGCACAAGAAACTTTGTTTTGTCCAACAGGGGGAGGTATTTTTCTTTCTGATATCTCTCGACAATTACCTGATGCAAAAGAAGAAAGCACGACATGTTTAAAAGCAATGTGGGAAGCAGGACAGGCTACCAATGGAAACATCTACTCCTCCTATCAGCAGGAGACAATCCTAAACACACTTATTGTTATCTACAGAACCTAATGAAGTCAGCGATACCGCTAGCCCAAAAAAAAACCCTGCCCTACTCAGGTACATTTTTTAAAAAAAAAAACTAGTTCAGGGGTCGGCAACCTTGACAACTTGTGGACTTCAGCTCCCAGAATTTTTCAGCCAGCATAGCTGGCTGAGGAATTCTGGGAGCTGAAGTCCACAAGTTGTCAAGGTTACAGACTCTTGAACTAGGCAAATGCCAGGGGCATTTAAACACAGAAGAGAAGGGAACGAAGAGAGAGGCTTACGGGCACTTTTGTCGGGAACTTCCCACGAATGCCTGCCACTTCTTCCACTCGGGTGGCTGTGAAAAAAAAAAAAAAGACAAGACGATCCATTAGTTTTCCTAACGCGCTGTTGAGGTGAAAGGCCTCTCCTCCCGAGGCAGCAGGTAGCGGATTTCAGACGGTCAGCCCCGCAAAGCCCAGCCACCTCCACGGAGCAGCGAATACAGGTCAAATCCCCGGAGGCGTTTTTCCTTTTCTCGCTGCCGAAGAGCGGTGGAAAGTCCCCAAAGCTCCCGACGGGGGCTTTGGAGCAACCCCCATTCCCGATCACAGAGAAAAATCGTCCCACGGAGCTGAGTGGTTTCCTCCCCAGTTTAGGGGAAAGAAGCCCACAGCCTGATTTTCCAACCAGGAAATTTCCCGCTTTCCCCCACTTACCAAAACTTTTTCTTTGCTTGAACGGCCTGGAGGGCTGGCAGTTATGCTGTAAAGGTTGCATTTCCCCCGCCCCCCCCCCTTCCCGCTTTTCAAAAGAGGCTGTCTAGGAGGAGGAAATAATAAAAAAAAAACTACACGCACTTCTTCGGCCCCGCAACAGCTGCACTCTGAGTCTACAGCCGTGCAGAAGAGCCCCCTTTTTAACGACCGGCTTGCGACATCCACGTCACTCTTTGCCCCCAGGCGTCTCTCTCACTCACTCACACACACACACACACACACGCCGCCACTGTGGCCGAGATGAAAAATGGAAAGGTGGGTGTTGGAGACCTAAACAAACAAACAAACAAAAAAAAACGACACTCGGCACGAGTGGGCCTGCAGGCTGGCAAACCCCACCTTTTCTCTGGTCCAGGGTGGCCCACGCGCAATCTTTGTCTCCCTGCAAAGCTTGGGAGTCGCTGTGAGAGAAAGCTATTCGCTAATAATAACGATCATAAACAGTTCGCAGTTTATGATTTTCTCTGGAGTGGAGGATCTATTTTAGACCGGTTTTTTTTGTTGTTGCTGTTTTGTTTTGTTTTGCCGTGGGAACGGTTCCTGTCCACTCTGCACCCGGGAAGTACTTTTCGGGTGATGTAAACATCAAGATGAGCGCCTGACACACACACACACACACACACACACATCCATTGAGATGGGTTGAACATATAAACCTTATGACTTCCGTCTCTAGTTACAGAGGGGTAAATCAGCTGTTCGGGGATGGTGGTGGCTTTAGTCGGTTCATCTCCTGAGTGCTGGGATGGCGCCCAGAGAATCTGTTTGCTGCTGTCCACCGCAAAATCATCTCCACTCAAGTTTCCCAACTTTGTGTATCTGTGGACCGAGTGAGCTGTGTAATAGTCTGTCACACGGACACAGCTGGGTAACCTGGGGTCATAAAAATAACTTTTATTTTAAAGGCAATAGTTATTTATCTCGCAGGGTTCCTACAAGAGCTGTATTGTTCAGGGGGGTGTAATTTCATCTGTTGTGGCTGCAGTCCCAGCTGCATTGCTAATTCAGGTTAATTATAGCACTTGATCTGCGCTGAGGAAAGCCCTCTTGAGTCTAGTGGCATAGCAAGTAAATACAGGATTGCACCCTTAACGATTGAAAGTTGTTGATAAGCTGGTAATTGGCCTGCTGGTATCTGGGGCTGCCCCTTCGTAGGACCTTTCATTACCAGGTAGATTTTGCCAGATGTTAGCCAAACTTCAGTTTCACCTCCTTGCAGTATGCTGATAAACTGCTTGGCAATGAATGGGAGTAGACTAGACTGGCTCAGGAATTCTGGGAGTTGAAGTCCACCAGTCATAAAAGAGCCAAGGTTGCCTACCCCTGGACTAGACAGATGTTTCAACCACAAACCATGAAGTTCATCTTCACCTGGTGCTGACCAGTTCTTGATTTTCTTTGCTTCTTTCTCCACTATTTCTGCTGTGATTGCAAGTTCTCTCATTTCATTTCAACTTTTTTTTTAATTCTCATCCACTTCCTTTATCCAAGCTTCTTCTTGTATTTCTTTGGGTTGTCCCACAGCTGTACCCAGAATCTACTGGGGTTTTTTTTTCCTTTGGCAAGCATTGACAGGTTCAGTGCAGTCTCTGCATTGATGGATTGATAGAAACATTTCTGATTCAACTGAATTTGGAGATTCTGCCTATGGTGTGCAATTCAAGGTTTGTAACTGCTGATCTTTTGGTTATAGTTGTTATTTCTAGTTTTACTACCCAGTCCCATCAGGAGCTCATTAGAGAGTTGGCCTAATCTTATGAAGATGGAAAGGTGAAATAAACCTGGGTGTAGACTGTTTAAATATGACATTCAGCTCCTGATAATTAGTCCGTGTACCATATCAGTTAACACAGAGACAGAGTAGAACACTGTCGCATCCCACAAGATAAAAGCTGAGAAAAAAACAGTAATTCCCCAATATGCCTATCTGAAACCTACCCTAGTGATAGGAACAGAACTGCAACAAAACCGTGTTCCCAAACATCAATTCTTGAAAATGGTCCAGATGATGTCAGAAGATGTCGAGATATATGCAAGCACAAGCAGAGACAGATTACCCCATTGTACCCTCTACAAGACCATCCAACAGAGCAACTAAAACTGGCCTGAAACAGCTCTAGATCAATTTCATCCAGAAATGCTTGGAGTTGTTCTACCAACAATTCTGTTGGCTGAAATTTAGAACAGTGAGTAGGTTTTATTTGGCTTTAGCAACACTACAGCAGTTTTAAAGCATCTTGCTTCTTAGGTTTCATTTTATTTTGAGAAATAATGCAGTGTGCTGTTTTATCAGAAAAGGGTAATGATAACATACATCATATATGCATGTATTGCACTAGGAAAAGTAAATCTCATAGAAATCAATGAGTCAATCTGAATGCTTACTTTCAATTTTGGCATTCAAATTGCCAACATTATTTCTGGAGATTATAACTCATTGTATGTTGCCTTTTGTGATCTTACAGATACGCTGAACAGCAACTCCCATTGCCTGAATTAGGACTGGAATTGTATTACAGTTTGGGGAAGGCCATTAGCCTTGAGTTAATGTTCAATGTCTTTTATTTATTCAAGTGTGTGTCTGCTGTGTCACTTCGTGGCACTTTCCTAAGCTGCATGATTCTATTTCTTATATTTCTTTCAGCCTCCTTTACTTTCTGACATTAATGCAACCGTCTCACTGTTGCATTAATGTTTCCTGTTCAACTGAACTTAACATTTGAAGCATCCTCTCTTTTGGTGCATTCTTTCTTAGAATCTCTCTCAAACCATTTGTAATCATAGAAGCAACCCTGGATTATTTTTCCACACAAAAAGTCTGATACTTTTTTCAGGAATTTGCAAGTTATGCCATCACTCCACTTATCAGACTGGGTCTAGAATTACACGATGTAATTACTTTAAAATGTGTCTTGCATGCACGCAGTACTGAACAAAATGTTCCACAGAGATTTTCTGGAAGGCAACATTTCTGGTCTAGTAATGTAGCCTTCTCCAAACTTGTAATAGCAAAATAGGAAGTTTAACTGGCACTGCCTTGAAGAACTCAAGATTGTACAGAATATGTTCTTCACTGGGAGAGCTTCTCAGTCTTTTGAGGAGTTATGACAAATATTATGGGAAGCACTGAAGGTATGAAATAATGGTGTATCTTCCTGGATGTAGCAGAATTTATTCTAGGGGGTTGAGGGTGGTGAGAAATATAAGAGATTAACGTTATGATCTTATTCAGGAATGAAACAATAATAAAGGCAGTCAGCTGGGTTGGGTGGGTACTCTTAATATACCATCATTCCATGGGTTTCATTTCCAGGTTTCATTTCCAAATTTTCCCTGTCCTTCCCAAAACACAGGAATGAACACAAGAGTAGTTCCCAAGAATAGTTGTGAGTTGAAGGCAGAACGATTGATCACTGAACTAAATCTACTTCCTCAATATCATTCCCAACGTGGTCAGTTTCGAAGTGACCAAAGGCTAGAGATCACGGCAACAACAGAGCAGGATCAGAACTCTGTTGAGGATTTTTGAAAAAGATAGGTATCATGGTTCCGATAGATGAAACCGGTAAAAGAACTTCAAGGCAAGGATTTTTCCTTAAAGAACATTTTATTAGGAAACAAAGTATCAGCACTTACATAGTTGAACCCAAGAATGAGATTCCCTCCCCCCAGATAGAAAGTAACAAATTGAAATTCCCACCCCACAAAAGCTATCATAAATCACATTCCCTAATTAGTGCAAAACGTGGGCTTTTCCCTCCAGCCCCTCAGCCCGCCAAAACTGTATGAGACAATATCCTTGATTTCCCATGCTTCTACATTGTTATAGCTAGCTAAACTCTCAGGCATTAACCCCATCCCCCCTTCTACATCTGAATTCTAAGAGAATAGAAAAAGGCACATTAAAAGCAAAAGTAAAATGGCTGCTGATTCTCAGTTGTCAGAGTGTTGACATCCATTGTCACAGCGTTGACAATAGGTTGGATTGGAGTCTTTTGTTCTAATATTGAGGGCATTTATTTTCTAAAATAGCCCAAGTCTTCTCTGGAGTTTTGGCTTCATCCACCTCATTACTTTTCAAGGGAAATTTTTTTCTAGTTGTTTTTTCTAGTTTTTTTTCTAGTCTAAAGATACAAAGGATGGACTCTTTGCAATGACATGCAAATCTTGTAAAATATAATTAGGACAATAATAGGAATATGTGTGATCAAAGCAGAAGATGCTCATTCATTTTTTTCATAATTAAGTTTCTCACCTAAAATTTAACTAACTTATCAAGTCATAAAACCATTATTTATTTATTTATTCATTTTACCAGAAATTAGCAGTGCTTCACAAATAGCTTGAGAGCACTAGGACCTCATGACCCAGCCTGGCACTGCTTCCTGGGGGTTGTCTTGTTACACATGGGGCAGCTCTGGGGCTGGGTTTGGGCAGAACAGGGAGGGGAGTCACTGCTGCCTCTTGGGGATGGGGGTCCCCACCCTTCCCTTTTGCTGGGGCCATCAGGGGTGTGATGGTGGGCAGGAGGCTCATACCGTGTGTGCAGTGGACCTGGAGGATGAAGTTGGATGGCAGGGGGCGAACAGGCAAGGGCCATGGCATGGCAGTGAGGTGCCGGGCTGGGATGGGCCAGTGCCAGAGTGTGGGGACAGGTCTCTCACCATCTCCAGGTGGCCCCGTGAGCCAAATCTGGGCCCATTGCAGGCTGGATCCAGCCTGCAGGCCTTGAGTTTGACACGTCTGTTCTAGGTTGTTCATCTGGACCTGTAGCAGGTCAGACTGCGATGGATGATTAGAAGTGTCATCTGAATCATCTAGATATGAATTAGGAATTTTACTAATTTAAAAAACAACAACAACAAACATTTCTTTGAAATTGGCAAATTCACTTCCAGGAATAAGAACCCAGATGCATACAGTAAATGAGTATGAAAAAGTAAGTTTGTATGTATGTAGTGTCACCCCTGTAGGGACCGCTTAAGTCCTGGCCCTTCCAACCTCCCCTCCAAGTGGCTACCAGCCCAAAGAGCTTTCTCACATTGGTGCCTTTGCCTAACAGGGCATGTAACATGGTGGTATTCATTCACGATTGGCAGCCATGCACATGGGGTGGTGATGGTTGCTCTCTCTCGATGGTGACTCACTTGGAATGATGGTGGTTGATCTCAGGCAATAAGAATTTAAAG